ATCTTCTGAAAAGGCCACGGCTTTCACACTGTTTTCATTTCATAAGACGTGAAAAATAAACTGGCCTCTGTGTTATTCCCTGCCCCAGTAGCCAACTGGAGGAGGAGTGGGCTGGAATGAAAAGGCTGGCAGGGAGCTCTCTGCTGCACGGCTGGTGGCAGATGTGTGATCCGCACGTAGCAGCTGGAACTGCACAGCCTGGCCTGGAAACTCCTGTTCGTTTTAAGATTGTGCACAACTTTTGTCACCATCTTCTAAGAAAGACATTGCTATTCTAGACTCAGTCAAGAAAAGAATTTCCAGATATGTTTGCCAACAACTATATCACCCTGCAACTTACAGCTGGCAGCCCACTGAAGCTCAGCAAGTGTGAGCCTGGCCAGTACCTGGAGGGGAGACCTCCTGGAAAAGCACACTAGAAGAGGTGTTAGTGGGGCCAGTAGGGAGCGCTCACCCGGCAGTCTGTGTGGGTCCTGATGCCCCAGTACAGTGAAGGGGACACTTTACTGTAAAAAGGTGCCATCCTTTGGATGAGACTTAAATCCGAGATCTTGACTCTCTGGAGTCATTAAAAAGGCCAGGGTGTTTCTTAAAAAGAGTGGGGAAGTTACCCTGGTGAACAGGCTAAATTTCCCCCTGGCTTTTACCAGTCATGGCCTCCTAATAGTCTATGAACTGGCTTCATCACTGCTCTCCTCTCCACTAATAGCTGGTGTGTGGTGAGCGTGCTGGCGCATCATCTACAGTAGGTGGGGCTGCACACTGGTAGGGGTGGAGGGGATCCCCATTACCTGTAAAGCACTTTGAGTGGAGTGTAGAGAAATTTTATTACACATTATGGGGCTTAATGGGATGTCCTGCGCCATTTTAACATGAAAAGTTCTTGTTCACATCTCTGTAACACAGGTATTCAAAATCTTAGTAGAAAAAAGTCAATCCAGCGGATATCTTCACATAAGCAGAAACTGAGTGTAAATCTATTGAAATCTGAGCACGGAAGACACTTCTTAATGCAAAGGGCTGTGGGAGTCTTCCCAGCCTTGTTGTTGATGCCAGCTCTTCTTTCAAGCAATAGCTTGATTTTTGGATTAGGTAGCTACAAACTACTAATTCTTCTTTGCCACTTCTTGTTTGCAATTGTCCTTAGCTACAAGTAGTGAGCTAGAGATCAATCACCAGTTGCAATCAGCTGTTTATTTGCAGGAATATTCTCGCTCTATTGTTTGGGAGAAAAGTTAAGAGCAGAGGAGAGGGTCTGGGCATACAGTACAGTGAGTTCAAAGCAGGTTTGCAGTCTCAAGACATACTGTACTGTACTGTAATAATAAAGCATCAGTGTTCATGTAAAAAAAACAGTAATTGTAAGGTACTGCAAGTTAAGCAAGTCATCAGTTTCTAACAGAAATCACTGAAACCTCCAGCGTCATTAAGTATACTTTGAGCATACAGTCTTTTTAAGGTTGTAAAGAATGTCCAAAGTTTTTAATTCCCAAGTGTGAGTACCAGACAAAGAAATGATCAAAAGCAGTTTTAAGCCAAGAAGAGAGGGAGTGAGAGGTGTGAAAAGATGTGTGCGATGGATTTGTGCCTATGGTGTAAATATATATTAGTCATGAAGCATGATGCTATTTAATTTCAAGACATTTTAGCTTTCTTCTCAATTACAAGCGCTTACATTTTTATTATCAACGCACAATGGAAGGATGTGCGGTGGAGAGCTGTCAGCAATCTGTCATGAGTCACTTTTCATGCTGCTCTTGTTCTCCAGCATTGATTCAGATATTTAGATAGCACATTCACCTGCCTGCTAATTCAGTCTTACTGCAGTCTCCGATCAAGCCTGTACTCTCACCTCTGCAGTTCAAAATCCAATCGGTTACTGAATTGCACTGTGATATCACAAGCGTAAGAAAAAATGCCATTGCTCAAAATAAAACAACACAATTCAGCATACCTATTCGAAGTTCTGAAATTCAGTTTTGGGAGGAAAATAACCCTATAACTTAGCTTAAAGTGTTACCTATTGCTGGAGCGGCCATAAAAATGTACATGATTAGTAGAGATTGATTTTAAAGCTTTAGCTTCACTAAAAAAAAAACGATGGTGAAGAAGTTCCAGCGGCGGATGGATGGACTAAAAATTGAACAAAAGAGGGCTGCTGGATGGTTCTGGCATCTCCAGCTCATGTCTGAGTGCGTTGGCTGACTCTGACTCTAGGTGTGCTCAGGCTGGCACAGAGGTTATTAATCAACCTCGCTAACAGCTTTATCCAATGCCAATCAAATATGTACCTATCTACTGAAGCAATCGCTGAAACAATCTGAGTGACGAACCACGCTTAGGGTGCAACAGCAGTGCCTCACCCATGACGGGTCCAGAGGCCTGCTCTTGTGCGAGATCAATGGCAGACACAGGAGGGCTCATACAGGACGCGAGGACATGGGAGTCACATCCAGTCCTCAACCATTTCCCTTCTCCCAGTGCAGCAAAGCCGTGCTGATTCATTATTACTGCAGTAATCCCGTTTATAAAACAAAACTCATTTAAATGATCTCCTGTACTGCCTTCAGCACTCTCCTGAACAGGCAGGTAAAGGTTTAAACCTGCCGCCCTGAAGGGATCAGGAAAGCAGACAGCACACTGTGACGAAGCAGGCCTGCTCTCGGCTCTGGCCAAGGGGCTGTGAGGACGACAGAGCACAGGCCTCCTCCTCCTCCTCCTCCTCCTCCGCCAGGCTTTTACATAACAGCGGGAGGCGGGTGGGCAGGGAGATGGCGACAGGATGGAGAGGGATGTGGGAGTGAGCGAGAAGAGAGGAAGACGTAGCCGAACAGCTGCGGAAGTGGAAATGACATGCCAGGACACAGTGCCTTCATCACTTCGGGAGCACAGGGGCTGTCGGTTCTCTCCTGAAGCGCCAGACAGTTCCCAAACACTACACACGGGGAAACACTACCACCCTGAACTGATCCAACAGCAAATCCTTGCCCTAGCAGTGTGTTTTTAAAAGGATAAAAAAGACAAAAGCAACATCCTAAATAATAAAGTCACTGCCTGTAAAGCAACAGGGAGACCAAACTGCTGGAACCCAGCTCTCTTATAGATTCCCAGGCACACAAGCAGACCTCCTTCACACTGGATCACCTGTTGACCCTCTTCAAGGTCATAGCCCTGGAAGTCCTCACAGACTGATACAGTACATGCTACAGTCAAAATCAAATATTTAAGCGTCATTTCTGACATATCAGTGCCTCAGCAGCAGCAGCAAGAGCAGAAACCACATACCCATCGCGTCATTATGCCTTCATCTTTGAGCAAGCTGTATATCTCGCCCCATCTACTTCGCTCCATAGTGAGCACAGCAAACCTCACACACACTGAAATGTTGTTACCACGCACAGAGAAACAAACTGTTCAAGAAGCCAGGTTCAGAAAACATACCCAGCTGAGGAAAGTGTCTACACATGAAAACTCTCCCAGTTGCAGTATAATGTACTCCAAAAAAACAAGACGGGAAGCTTCCTTGCCTGCTTTCCTCTCCCCATGAACAGCAATGAAAACATCTGGTATCGCACTCAAACAATAATGCAAAAGACGAAAAGGCAAGAAACTAGCTCCTGTTGACAGGGCTTTCTGGACCGCGGTGAAACTCCTCCTGTCAGAAAGAGTGGTGATGTGTGAAATCCAGTTTAAACTCTTGGGCCGTTCCTAAAAATCCACGCTTTCCCCAGCAGCTGACACACATGGCATCACAAAGCCTTTCCCAGCGGCAACGGACATGAAAAACTCTCATAAGCCTTAAAAAACTTAAGCTCGCTGTTCAGAAATGTATGTGTTGCAGTAACATTAGGCCAGCTTTTTTCGTTTTGATTTGCTGTGGCCAACGCTTCTTCCATCTTGACGACATCAAAGGGTTAAGACATACAAAAAAACCAGGAGAGCAGTGCACCCTAGTGTCCATTAAAGAAATTACAATGTCTGCCCACCTTCAGTTTCAGACCTAGGGTGCACAGGTCTATACAAAACAGGTGATAACCCAACAGGATGGGGGGGTTGTAATGAAAAAACTGTGTCCCCATTTATAAATGTTCCCCCCAACCCTCAAAATACAACCAGAGCTGTAGCTGTTTGCTGAGATTAATGCTAATGTCCTACAATAACAAACCCTAAAATATTCAATAAAATATTCCAGGCTCATTTCAGGACTGTAAATGTAGACTAATGATGGTGAAAGGCTCTGCAGTTTAATGTAATGGAAACCTTATAAAAGGTTTATTGTTTGTCATTATTTGCATCATTAAAACACAACTTTACACACGTTCTGGCCGGGGTGGAGAGAACGCCTCAGCTTCTAACAATCAGAGGGAATATATATATCGGTCTGCTGGCTGGTGCCAGGCACACCTCGGGGGCAGAGCTGCAGCTGTGAGGGCAGAGAGTGAGGCTGCACTGCCCCCCAGTCTCCTCACAGTGCACCCCCTCTTTCACTGGGGAGTCTAGTGTTAAAGATGACCATCCTTCCGGAACACATGAAAACAGGGGCTTCACTTGCACATGCTCAGAGCGAATAATAATGGATCAGGCTAGTGGCACAGAGGGGTTCCCTTCCTGCTGACCCAGTTTCTCTACCTGCCCAGCCAGTGAGTCATCCTTCTGTCATTTTGACTGTGATGCCAGCTCTGTTTTCTACCGATTCTTCCCTAGTTTCAAAATGCACACTTATGTTCATGCATTTACCACGTTTTAACTTAATGTCCTACACTTGACTACGAGTTCACCATGATATGCCGTAGCTGCGATTTTAAAGAGCGTTTTCCCCACTCCGTCTGTCGATGCGTTTTAATCGACTTTGCCAACCCTCGGTGAAGCAGGACCTGGCCGTGCCGCGAGAGGTCAGCTCTGTCCGGACCAAGGGGTGCTGGGAACTGGTGCCCATTACGGAGGACCACCTGAACGCAAGAGCCCAGCTCAGCGAGGGGCTGCTCCCCGGCCCGTCTTACCCGTGAGCTTCTTCATGGGCTGCAGGCGCACACTGATGGCCTGGTGCGTGAGAAGCGGCGAGGACGGCAGCGAGCGGGACACGCCCTCCATGATGCGGATGTGCTGCATGCCTTCGGTCACCGGCAGGGGGGGCACGGCGTAGTCTCCTTCGAACGCACAGTCGCTGTCTGCGGAGCTGCCACCTGCAGGGGCCATGGAGCAACAACAGGACAGCCTCAGCGCTCTGAGAACAGGGACAGCCCAAAGGTAGAACAAGACCCATTTAAAAAAACAGAGAACTAGCTCTCCCCCCTGGGTGCTGCACCTCTTCCAAATTCACCACACGTTACCATCCATCCATATTCTCACATCTTCACCCAATACAGGATCGCATGCAAGATGATACTACAGTATCACAACTATACTGTCATACCTACAAATGTACAGTATGCAACATTTTAGCAACATCATATTTCTTTGAAGCAGATTGTCCGAGAAGTTTTATTGTCTTGGGAGAAGTTTCTCAGCAAGGTGTTCCCTTCTATCCAGGTAAATCCTAACAGATACAGCACAGGGCTGTATCCATCCATTTTCTAACCGTTTCATCCAATTCAGGGTCACAGAGGAGCCAGAGCCTGTCCCAGCGGGCAACGGGCTGAAGGCAGGACTCACCCTGAACAGGACACCAGTCCCTCGCAGGGCTCAGAAAGACATGCCACACACTCACACCCCCGGGGCCAGCGAACGGACCTATCAGTATGTCCCTGGACAGCGGGAGGAAACTGGAGCACCCAGAGGAACCCCATGTGAACATGAGGAGAACACAGAAACTCCACAGAAGACTGCACTTCAGGATTTTAACCCTGGCCCCAGCGCTGCAAGGAAGCAATGCTTACAGTACCACTACTCCATCATGCTGCCCAAGCATGTTACATTCAAATCTAAACATATTGTTCCTCTCATTGCCAGGCTTGGGACAACCGGCACAGCCTCATGGGAAGACTGTGACTGACGCAGGTCATGCTCTACAACCCCCTGTGAAGTTGTTACTGTATGCTGTCGACAGAAGGAGGTGTTTTTTTATTTTTAAGTTAAATGCCTGCAATAATGGAAATTAAGTAGTTTTTTTTTTAAGTTGGTGACTCGCTGACTGAGAATAGGACAATTTCCTGAACTTGTCAAAGTGCAAAAAAACAGCAGAGAAAAAAATGGCTTTGCGGGTACCGAATAGGATGAAAAGCATTGTTTTTTGCGTTAGAGCTGGTATATTGATTCTGCGCTCATGATAAGGTTTCAGCCAGAGAGCTTGAACCCCTGGGGGCAGTATTCCAACTGTACCTCCTATCTGATCTGCGCTGAAATTGAGTGATAGAGCAGGCTCTTGCTGCAGACATATTTTTCATCTGTCAGCAGCCATTGTGTTTGAAAACCTGTTTTCAGTAAAATTACATCCATGGATTTTAATTACATTTTTGTATATTTAAATTCCATATTTCAATATAAAATTGCCTAAGCATAAAAAAAAACAATGCCCATAGCAGGGCCCCATTTCTGCAGTCTAAATCATTTAACCTTGCTAATAAATAAGGCACTATATTCTTATATACATCCCAGCTTGCTATATCATTTGACATTTACGCCTGAAAATTATCAAGAACTGGGAGAGCATTTTAGTGTTGTACAAGCTTCTTCTGCATCAGGCTCCACCAACAGGAAACGGTCTTAAAAAAAGCTTTTCCCACACATTTTCAAGTTTCTAGTCGTCCTGTTTCGCTTCATGGTTAACAAGTCGAATACTGCTGTAAGCAGAAACTAAATGGAACTAAGTAACACTCATTACTGGGCATAGAGTACATCAAAGTGCTGAATGAACAGCAGTGTGAAATCCTGATGCTGGGAGATTCTGTAGGGGTCCTTTAAGAAAACCACATCGGTCAAACGCCGGCGTCGCTGCTGCCGCGTTCGCAGCCCGCCTGTACGACACGCCGAGCTCCTGGCTGGAGCAGATCCATCCGATCGCACTGCAGCAGGCTCTGTGGGGGCACTGCGCCTTTGGAAATACTGCATACGCGCTTCGAGGTGAAAATTCCACTCCTGCCTGCTTAGTGGGTGTTAAAAAATGCTTGGCAGCGGGCATCACAACTCCCGAACGCCGCTCTGTATAAATATCTCCACAAGAAGCGATTTCGCTTCTGACCAGGACTGCGGGAGGTGTAGAAAAGGGAGGAAGGGGGATTATGAAGGCAGGAGAGAAACTGGTCTTAGGCTAGGAATAAAAGACACAATAAAAGATTTCACTTTACTTTCCTGGTGAAGAATAAGTCTCCCCAAGGGACTAAACTGTATGTAGGAACGGTTCTTGGAAAACAGGAGAGAATCCCCTGGTAATGTACGCACCACACACAGACACACACAGACACACACAGACACACACAGACACACACAGACACACACAGACACACACAGACACACACAGACACACACAGACACACACTGGCAGAGTGGGCAGATATCTGTCCAGGAGGGCGCTCATTACAGTCAGAACACCTGCACAAGACCCTAGAGCAACAAGACACCAAGAGCCCAGCAGTACAGTATATCACAATGTGAGATATCTTTTTTTGAACCCCTTTGATGACTGGGTGGCAGACGGATGTCCTACGGTACACGACAACGGCAGACGCATCATTTTAACATTTTGTTTCTGCTCGCTTGTTCAGGTCTGACTGGTTGAACGAGTTAGGTGGAATGTTTGTTTAAAACAACATTAACGCTTCCCAGTCCATATAATTAATTCAAATTCAAAGACATTCGGGTAACATTTTATTTGAATACAACCTTATTCAACCTCTCTAAATCCTTCATAGTATCTTGTACAGAAGTTAGAGATCAATTGTAATAATAACTTCATCCCTATATGACCAAAAACCGGACATATATTAGCTGCCTTAAAAACATAGGATTATACAGTTGTATACAAAGGTTTGGGCACCCCTGGCCAAATTACGTTTTCTTGATTTTCTAAGTGAAAAGAAGGTAACAACCTCTGCTGGGGTGCCCATATATTTGCATACAACTGTAGATGCTTCACAGCATCATAAGCAGACTATGATGGTGAAAGGCTGGCTCCTTATGGCCACATTCAAATGCACTGGAAATTAAATTTGCTCCCATTGCTTTTACTAGGCAGAAAGGAGTGAACTGTTGCAATGGACTTGCTGAAGTGTCTCTATAACTCTCCAGAATACATCCTGAACTATTTTGCTTTTTTTAAACTCAATTATAAAGTAGTGTGGCAGCTAGTGCTGCTGCCTCCCAGCTCTCTTGTCCAAGAGCTCAGATGCTTCATTTTCCTCCCATCTTCCAGAGACATGCTGGTGCTGCTAAATGGTCTCCCTGCGTGTGTAAGCACACCCAGCAAGGAGCTGAACATCTATGTCCAGGATATAGTCCCACCTGGACCTTTTGCTGGGAAATAAACTAGGAATGGACAGATTTCCGACACTGGATGAAAGGGTGAAGAATAACGCTGCCTGACACCAGATATTACACAAGAATCCTGGGAGTTCTGCCTGCCCTGGCTGACAGCTGCAGACGTCTAGAAGCTCCTGGTGCAAGCAGGTGTTTGTCAAGCAAGGGAAAACACATGCATGCACTCTCCTGCGACAAGTATGTCTCAGACTCAGATTCACAAAAAGGATGCATTGGAATATTAAAGGGAGGGGTCAGAAGTCCAAACCACCTGACTGAAGGGCTGCGAGTTCAAATCCCTGGCGGGATCACAGCTGCTGTTGAGCAAGGTATCTTATTTATTATTCCAGCATTTCCATAGCATTTTTCATCTTAGGAATTTATAGACCCACTTTATCCACCTCTGAGGGGCAGCATCCACTACACAGCAGGAAAGATGGAGAAGAGAGAAATAACTTTTATTTCTATTACACTATTACACTATTTCAATTAGTGGGAATGTTCGGCAGATCGGATTTTGTGGAATTTAGCCAGAACACCAGGGTTAACAGCCTTACAAACAGTACCACTGGATCTTTCAGGACCTCGCTTTAACATCCCATCCAAGGCACGGCACCTCCCACACAGTGCAGCAGTGTTTTGTCTCATCACACCCGGTATCTGGGCTTTGGTTGGGAAATTCATGTCCAGGAGGAAGAACTTCACCTACTATCACTTACAGCACCACCCTGAATTCCTTGGAGGCCTCCTATCCCAGCCTTGCGGGGCTACTGAGATCTGACGCAGCTATCACATCAGGCTACCTGGGGGTAACACCCGTTAAGGATATAAACAGCTACCACTTTTTGTACTGTATGGGGGGAAAGAACTGATCACTGTAACCCCTAAAATGTTTTTTTTTTAATGGAACCCCAAAATGTAAGCCAAATACATTTAAGTAATAACAAACAACGCTAAGAATAAATTACAGAAACACCCAAAAAACATGAATCAAATGCTTAAAACATTCTGATTTCCTTAGCTGTCCAAATATGATCTGATATGATTAAGTAAAAGGGATCCGTAAAATGAATTCAGGAGGTGACTGACCGATTGTTACTTCTAGGCTCAGCTATCACTGTCTGGACCCTTATTGGCTTTGGCTATTTTTCAGGACAGAGAGAAAAACGGGATGGGTTTGGTCTGCTAAAGTGATCCTTGTGCCAAGGTGAGACTGATCACCCTTTCAAAAGTCCATCTGTGTGCTTTCCCAATTAGTATTCATGACAGTGCACCTTCTGCCACTCAGCTGTAGCTTTGCACAGAGCACATTCCCAGATCTCCAACACATTCATTTCATAAGAACTTGAACGTTCTGTAGGAGAACATTTCCAATCTGCCTGCAAATCTTTCCAACTAGAAGGCTGTCGGACACACATTCTCAGACTCAAAGAAATAAAACATTAATAGCTGTTACATAACTGCTTAATTAATTTAAATCTGGAACAAACTGCTCATTAAATTTTATGGGGATCTATTCAATGGGAATCTGTTGATAGCACTATTGGTAATTTCATTAATGTAATTAATAACAGCAATGTATTATTTATAGCACTGAATGTGGATTAGACTGCCCTCCAAACTAAAAGAAGACTAATGAGAGAGAGAGAGAACAAGAGAAAATGTACAGAAAGTAAAACAGCAGAAAAAGAAGTGAATGAGAAAGTGAGAAGTTACTAGATAGAAACAGAAAATGGAAGAATATGAAAGAGAAAGTGGGAGAAAAGAGAAAGGGAAAGGCAACAAAAAGAAAGTGAAAGCCAATTTGGGAAGAGGCAACAAGAGAAAGAGCAAGAGAAGAAAGTAAGAGAGCAAGGGGCTGGAGTGGCTCAGGGCTGGCTTACCTGGCCCAGTGTGGCTCAGTCTGGACTCTACATTGGGCGGCCGGAGCTCTCCAGTGTCCTCGTTCCCACCGTCTGCAGAGGAGGAGCAGAAAGAGCAGAGGGAGTGAGACCGGGGCAGCCAGGCTGGGGGGCCCAGGTCGCCCCCCGTGCTGTCCCTGGGCTGGCGAGATGGGCACACCATTTGATACACCACTAAGTACGCCACCTCCCTCTCAGACAGCCTAGTGTTCAAGGGCAAGGCGCCCAGCAGACTGGTGAGGCATAATCTGTCCGTGCTGCGCCTGGGCACCCTGCCTCGCGGCAGGTGACACCTGCGCCCCCTCTGCAGCTCCCAGCGGGCTCTGCGCCTCTGCTTGCGCCTCATCGCTCCCCCTGACCGGATACCAACGGATCAGGCTTCTTCGGGCTGCAGGCTTGACTGCAGCTCCTGCAGAAAGTGGATTAACAGAGGGGCGTGCGCAGAGAACGGCTCTCCTGTGTGCCACGGCTGCAGGTGAAGTGTGAAAGACTCCTTCTCCACCCCCCCCACTACTGCCCCACGATTCAGGCAGAGAGAGTCTGGGCTCAGGCAGGGCAGAGGAGGCAGCAGTAGGGTATGGGGGCTAGGGGGTATCTAAATGGGCACGGAAAAACTTGCTGACGCACTGCGCTGTTTTGAAACTGATTGGTATAATGATCAGTTATACACAGGCTATCGACTCCTGTACAGAATTAGAAGCAGTATATAGGCAAGGTCGATAGGTCCCCCAGGCTATTGGGATCAGTGAGCCCAGGGTCACTCAAAGGCAGCATCTCCTCGAGAGCAGCTTGTGAATTACCACACCAGAGTCGGGGTCTCACTTTTCACCAGAACCATGGGCAGAAAAATGCCAGGCACAAATATTTTGACTTTTGTCTACTTAATCAAATAACAGTGCCTCTCTGGTGTCTCACACTTTCTGAATGGAAGGCGTCTGCGTGCTAATTACAACTGGTCCCACAGTAGAGTTGTCCGGACAGCTGCTGGAACGTGTGAGTAGAGTATCATATACTGTAATGTGCATCAAGTCGCCCTCTAGGAGTTTTTGAGTAATCTACTGCAACTACAAGAAGATAACTTTAGTCTATGAGATTTAGTCTATGCTTAGAATGAACAGGTACACAATCTGCTCAGAGGTACTGACACAACGCCCCTGTTCAGCCTGTGGCCTGGTTTCCAGCACTGACGTGCTGCTTGTCAGCAGAGACCGGCTGTCTCCACAAGATGGGGTGAGCAGGTGCTTGGTGCTATTTGGGATCCATGATCTCAAATGGAACCCCATGAGCCCATCGTGGGGGGCAGGCACCCTGTCGCAACAACTGGGACAGTTGAGCCTGAGATCACAAATTTTAAAATTCAGAATTCATGAACGAAGTCTTCCAGCCAGCACTTGGGTTGTCATTGCTGCATTGCCTAAGCCAACTGGTCTCTTTTGCATTCCCATTTTCTATTTTTTTTTTTACTTGTGAAGAACATACAATTTTCCCTGAGAATTAGACTGATGCATGACTTATGCAGTTTGATGGTCAGTAAGCAGGTTCCTATGTGAGGGGACACACTGATGTTCAGCCACGCAGATTCATTCACGTGCACCTTCTCCCGGGCCAGCAGGGGCTTCAAAGTCTGGCCCATTCGAGAGACCCTACAATGTGAAAACCCTGACCCTCACATCCCGTGCCTTTCCAAAACAACTTGCCGGAACTGTCCAAGCATCATGGACTAGGGCTTCCTAGTGCACACAAAGACTCTTGTTTACACTTCACATAATGTATATGCCAGACCTGTGATTTGTTTAGGCAAAATGAAAGCATGCATTAATAATGCTCTTTATGCAAGTGCTTTTTATCACACAGAATGAAAAAAAAAATAAAAGCAAACAACAGATTAAAAAAAAACTAAGAGGCTGAAATTTATCTGCTTCAGAGCTATTAACTGCAAACGTGGCGATTGTCAGTGTAAGTGACTTCTGAGTGCACAGTGTAAATGACTCATCTTTAAAACTATTTTTCATCGAGACTTTCTGGGCAGCGCATAACAGGATCCGTGCGGCACAGCTGCTGTGTGCTCTGCAATGCGTTCTCAGCTAGTTGCATGCGTACAGTGCAGTGCATCTCTTAGTGCTTCCAGTATTGCCTGCAAATACTGTATATACATATACATATACTGTATATACTGTATATACTACTGCCCTGTCTCTCTCACACCTGAAAAAGGCTCCACAGCCGAAATGTTGTGTTCTCTTTCTTCTTTTTTTCAGCATGGAATAAACCTATTACTTGTTCCTGTATATACATACTGTATATAAGCAAATTGCATCCTATTACTTTGGATAATGGATTCAAAGTCCTAGATCAAGGTCCTAGATCCTAGATCAAGGTAAGTGTGCATTGATTTCCAATGGTTTGGAAATCTTCTGCCTTCCCAAGATATAGGATAATGTGTGGCTAAGTTATGGGATCTGATAGGGTGGCCTTTATTCTAGATTCATGTAGTTTAAGAAGCTCTGAACAATGCAATGCACATCTGCTGAAGCCACCTGACCTGCACCCTCACTGCATTTCAAAGAATGGGTACCGATACTGAACCTCCAGGAAAGTTACCCCATTAGTCTGCTTGCGTGCAAATGTGTAGCAGGAAGCCAGAGCACTGGCTTTTTCACAGGCCCCAGACTTGGGCTGTGAGATGCTGTGCGTTCTGAGCCCGCTGCCGTCACGTGTGCCAGGGGAAGGAGTCATGCTCTCCTCGGTTGCCATGCTTCCCCTCATCGCCCCTGGCAACAGCACAACCGTGTGACTACAGAACCTTGGCGCTGAGTCACCGCCTTCCTGGAGCTGTGAACCCCATCACTCTGCCATCTGATGCACTCCTCCTCCAGCCACAGCGGCCCCAGAACCCTCCTCTCCCTGCGTACCGGCCACATCAAACCCAAAGCAATTGCCATCCTCTCCCAGGCTGTGTACTGCTGAGGCTTAGCTGTGCTTTCCATTGTCTTATTTCCATGCACATACTTAAACACCGATTTTAGCCCCTCGTTTTTCAACAGGCATTATTAGCATTTCCCTCATTTGGAGCTTAATGCAGAGACAGTGGTGCAGCGGTACAAAAAAAAGCAATCTCACTTCTCCTGCAGTCAAATCAAAGCCACTCACAGCACCTGCACGATCTATAAGCCCCAGTGACCCTTTGTGCTGCAGATGCATACTGAAACAGATAAGCCCCCTGCCACAAGGCAACAGGAGCAGTAAGCACAGTAAAACAACCCTGCCCTGCACCCTGGAGTTGTTTAGGCTCAAACAGTCTTGCCACATTTAACAGAATGGAAAGATCTGGCTGGTTTCAGGTCAGGCTGTGTGTTTCTGAAAGCAGGGTGTGACAACATCCTTTCCTTTCTCTGTGTACGCAGGTATTACTACCAAAGGGGGCCCCTCAGAGTGCCGTAGCTCCAGAAAACAATGATGTGAGCATGCACACTTACAAAATGTTTAATTTTTGCAAATGGAATATTTCTCAAACCAATCCTGGTCCTGGTGACCCAGCACACCTGCTGGTTTTCATTCCAGCCCACCTTCCTTCACCAATTGAAGCCTTAATTGACCTAAGAAGCTGCCTCAGTTGAATATTTGCATTTTGTTCCTACTCGCAGGTTTTGGATTTTATTTCACTTACAGAATACAATGGTTAAAGCTCTTAAACGTGTCTAAGGAGCTGGGAACAAACCGTCCAAACGAACCTTCTTCTTAAGACAACGAAGGGTGTGAGGGTGTCTCTGAGGGTGTGGCTGGAACAGAAACCAGCAGGCGTGTGGGTCAGCAGGACTGAAAACCCCTGGGCTCAGGGAATATGGAACCTGTCAGTCAGGTGTGATCTGCATTGATTCAGGGGGCACAGGTTAATGGAATCAATGGCTGGGAGAAGCAAGGAAATCGCATCCAGCTGCCAGTCTACAGCCTGTCCTAGACCCCTGGGCACAGCTACACCAGAGCCCTTGTGGTGTGCGGCCCAACTCTCCTAGCCCTCCAGTCCTCATTCTCCCACCATGGCATCTACTGAGAAAGAACACACAATTCTGGTGTTTTCCCAATTAAGTCTTGCCTAACCAAACAGAATAAAAAGTGCTGCAACCTCGCTTCCATATTAATCTTGTGAACGGAAGCCTGGATTCTGGTTACATAACTTGACCATTAACACTACACGGAAGTGAGCTGCATTTTTAACAAGGTGCAGTGGGAAGGTTACAAAAGCGATAAAAGAATACTGTCTTTTTTTCTGTCCTGTAAATGGCATTGGTCCGGAGGAAATCCAGATTTAGCTCAGGATATGAAAGAGAAAAAATGCCCTATGCTTCATGCTATTTTTGCCAAACAACAAACATCTTGTGAAGTGCAGTGTTACGTAATTCAGTTCCATGCTCTGCAGTAAAATGATGGGATCTAGTGCACGGTAGTAAAATAAATTGGGAATTCATGCCAATCCGCGGATTAAATGCACAACCCCGCAGAAAGATGATAACGGATTAGATCAGAGGATGCCAATACCATGAGTATCGGAGCACGCAGCAAACATCATTTTCACATGCCAAGAAATACATGCACACACCTCTCATTGCAGATGACCAAACCCATGTAGGACATCCCGAGTTTAACATGAAACATTTTTCATTCCTGTTTTTGCAGACAGTCTCTGTAAGGCTTGCAAATATCCTTTTGGAACAAAATTACATATTTTTTTGGGTGTGAGATTTGCTCTGCTGTATCCTGGGAAAGGGTATGATGCTCACTACCCTTTCCAGTCGCAGAGAGACTCGTGTCACTGCGATCATTGTGTCACGGCATCTTTTAATCTCCCCACATCAGCTGAAGTCTCAGCGGAGAGGGCAGCGTGGGCCGGAATTTCAAATCAAGAGTGCCAACACTGCTTAACAACACCGCTGAAACGTCCAGAAGATCTTCATCAATAAGAACTAGCTTCACATGCAAGAAAAAGCAACAGTGCGACGCTACGTCAATCAATTTACACCTGCACTGCCACAGAAGGAAAGTCTGCGCTGTGTTTT